AGGGTACCAGGTACATGGAGTTAATTTTAGCACATAGTGCTTTGGAACCTTCTTAATTGATTTGTAACTATTGGACCTAAGTTTTGAGATTAGAGTGAAGTGGAAGATATGCTTCTCGGTACACTCAGTAAATACCAGCCTTATTTTTAGCTTGAAACTTTCTTTTTAACAGAATGAGATCGAAGTACTTCTGATTTCATTAAAGATCAGGAATCTGTTGCATGAGTTATAAAGGCAGGAGCTAAAGGTCAGTAGATGAAGGAATGATAAGAAGTGTCTTGGTTTGGTCTCGTTTTGTGATGTGTGATAGACCAATGTCACATGAGTGTGGTGGGAAACCCACCGTTAAGTCCTGGTCACAGGTAGCAGTTGCGTTCTCTCCACTCTGAGGCTGCTGCTCCTGGTGAAAATGCTCAAATACTGAGGTCACATATATTTATAATTATTATTTCTTCTTGCTTTATTGAACACTCTCATTATGTAACGGACTTCCTTGTCTTTTTATCCTCTGCTTTTAATTTAAAATATATTTTACCTGATAGAAATATGCTATGGAAGCTTTCTCTTGTTTATTGTTAAGATTTAATTTGTTTACTTGAAAGTCAGAGTGACAAGGGAAAGAGGGTCTTCTATCCACTGGTCCTCTCCCCAAACGACTGTAATGACTGGGGCTGGGTGAGGCCAAAGCCAGAAGTTCAGAATGCCACCCATTCTGAGTGAGTGGCAGGGGCTCAATTAACTGGGTCATACTGAAGTAACACTTAACAAGTAGGGAATCCATTTTAGAGAATCCCTCCATGAGACTCTGGTTTGAAACTATGATCTAACAGTACATTGCATCCCACTTGGCAGAACATAGACACTCCCTAGCATGATTGCTCAAGCTTAAAACAGATAGGCTTCACTTGGATTAATGTTAAGACTGTAATTTTTCTATTGTCAAGATTGTAATTGACATTAGTTTCACATAGGTCAGCTTGACCCTAGTGACTATGTATTCCCTCCCCCTAGTAATCATATATTTCCTCTCCTCTCCAGGTGGGAGATCCAGATGAAGATCCTGACTCCTGGCTTCAGCCTGGCCAAGCCTGAGCCTCTTCTGGGTCTCCCACATTGATAGCAGGGGCCCAAGCACTTGGATCATCCTCTGCTGCTTTCCCACACGTTAGCAGGGAGCTGGGTCCAAACTGGACCAGTTGGGACTCGAATTGGTGCCCATATGGGATGCCAGCACTGCAGGCAGAGGCTTACCTTCTACACCATAGCACCTGGCCCAGGTACATCTGTTTTTCATTTCACAATAACTAAATGTGCAAGTGTGTTGCCTCCTTGTATACAGCAATAAACTCACATATACTATAAGGAAGTAGATAGATAACTGAGAGAACTGAACGACAAATATGAACATGTAGCAAAGAAACAGAATGCTAAGGCTGGAAATAGAGTTTGAATGGAATGCAACTGTAGTGACTGAGGAAGTAGCTGATGTGGCTATGTTGACATGGCTGCTGTCTAGGGACTGGATAAACAGTCACAGAAGCTTAGTGAACACAAATGTATTGGCATACTTGAGAAAAGAGTTGGAAAGGACAATGATGTCACCAAAGAAGTGACACTGCGAAAAAAAAAAAAAAACTCACATTAAAGGGACTGTGGGGAAGGGGGTGCGGTGCTGTGGCATAGCAGGTAAAGCCACCGCCTGCAGTGCCGGCATCCCATATGGGGGCCAGTTTGAGACCTGGCTGCCCCACTTCCGATCTAGCTCTCTGCTAAGGCCTAGGAAAGCAGTAGAAGATAGCCCAAGTCCTGGGCCCATGCACTTGTGTAGGAAACCTGGAGGAAGCTCCTGGTCCCTGGCTTCAGATCAGTGTAGCTCCAGCCATTATGGCCAATTGGGAAGTGAACCAGCAAATGGAAGACCTCTCTCTCTCTCTCTCTCTCTCTCTCTTCTCTCTACCTCTCCTCTCTGTGCATAACCCTGACTTGCAAATAAATAAATAAATCTTTTAAAGGGGGGGACTCTGGGAAATACTTCACGACCTGGAAGGACACAGTAGTTTTTAGTATATGCATACTTACCTTATATATATATCATAGAAAATCAGGTTTTGGAAGAGTAGAACACTTCAGGCATCGAATTTGATCTGGGCCCTGGTTCAAAAAACAAGGTAAATTACTCAGGTATAGTTACTTGAAAAACCTACCCATCAATATCAGTATTTCTTCAAAATGTCTTAAGTATTAATTACCTGAAGTAATTACTTAAAATGCAGATCACTGTCTCCTCTCCTGTTCTTATTTAAAAGGTCTGGAATGGGTACCAGTAATCTACATACTTATATAACACTACCTCATTAATAGTTAAGTTTAGTAAGCCAAAAGTAAAAGTAGAGGTTCATAGAGCCCCTTACTGGCTCAGTTTTTCACAGTTCCTCAGGCCAAAAGAAAAATCCAAATAGACAAAACCAAACCCAATAGTTGTAGTTCCTAACTTTGTCCAACAGATGTCAGTGTTTCCCTCCAAACCTTATCCAACAGCATCCCTAGGAATTCCCAGAGGCACTCCAGGGCATACACACAATTTATGAGCTACAGCCTAAGGGACCATTTAACTGACATAGCAGCTAAATAAAATGTCTAATAAGGTATTGTATAGGAAGACTGGGCAACAAAGTGCAACATGTTTGGACTCCTAAATATTTTTAAATAAATAAGCAGAGAGCAAATATTCTAAGTTTGTCGGGCTTAGAAGGTGTCTGCATATTCTTTTCTCTGTAATCCCTTTAAATATGTAAAAACCATGTTCAGCTCTTGAATTTATCCACAAGCTTTATGTCCTATGACAACCCCTACTGTGGTAAAAGCCTAAGATGCAACATTAAAGTGTTATTCAGTGAGGGTGATTATGTAAGGTTGGGGCTCTCAAGCATCTCCTATCTCATCCTTTTTGCTCCAGAAAACTAAGTAGAGGTATACCATTGTTTGGAATACTGAAAAGACTCATTTGACTTCAAAGCTATGGTAAAGAGAGAGCTGTCATGAAACTATATTAAGAATTGCTAGTTGCTCCAAATAGGAATCCACCCACACTGCAACGCAATGGTTCATTTTCCCAGCTCTGGCTTCTGATGCCAGATTCCCTCCAATGCAGACCCTCAAAGGCCATACCGGCTCAAGATATTGGGTTCCTGCCACTCATGTGGGAGACCCAGCCTAGCCCAGCCCTGATTGTTGTAGGCATTTGGGGAGTAAACCAGTGAATGGGAGGGCAAGTTCCCTCTGTTTACCAAAATAAAATAAAATCCTGTTCAATTTCCCAAACTGATTATTGTACTAAGTCCTAGTCAATTGCTTGCTGAGTACTGCAAATGGTTAATGAGACTCCACAGTTTAATAAGGCACTTTTTAGCTTATATAAGATTCAGTAAATAACTTGGTAGGGGCAGGTGCTTCGCAAGGTGGTTAACACAGCACTTGGAATGTGTGCATGCCATATCAGAGTGCCTGGCTTCCAGTCCCAGCTCCATTTCTGATTCCATCTTCTGCCTAATGGTGTACCCTGTGAGGCAATGGGTCCTAGCTCAAGAACTTCGGTCCCTGCCACCCACATGGGAGATCTGGATTGAGTTTGGGGCTCCTGGCATTTGGGGAATAAACAAGTAGACAGAGGATTTCTGTCGTTCTGTGTATCTGGCTTTGATATAAACTCATTTTTCAAAAATTATAGAAAACAACTTGATAGTATATGCCACTTGATATTTCTCACTTTCAAAATTAGTACTGCTGTCTTGAAACTATGCATTGTGCTTAGCCCAGCTATTTTTAAAAATTCCATTAAAAATTTCATTAAAAAGAAACTCTTATGACAATACCACTTTCCTATGATAGTCACAAGGAGAGAAATGTCACTGGCAATAGTGCCCATGAGAAAAACCAGGAAATTCGTTGAGGAAGTTCCATTCCATATTGTAATAAATATATTTTTTTTTCTTTAAAAACTGCACCATCTAGATTCTTCCAAATTATTCTCTTACAGCTTCCACCCAAAAGACTTTTGTTGATTAAAAGTTTTCCCAGAACTTTGTCAGCAACTCTCTTGTACATCGGTCAGAAGCACCCTAATAATCGCCGATTGCATTTTGTTAAGACTGAGACACTAAGACCGTACTTTGGTTGCCTGCCGTGGAGACTCCGGCGACCTAGGAGAGCAGACCAGCGCACCGGCTGGCGTCCACTTGCGATTGTACGGGTCAGGGACACAATTATCGTCACAGTCTCCCGTTTTACAGCACGGTGCGTTCTCGCCCACGAGCAGGCGAGCACTACAGCTTCTCTGGGCCGACCCAGTCACAGACTCCCTTCAGCGTGCGCCTCCGCCAACGCGGCCCGCGCGACCCCCCTGGGCCGTCACTAACACCCACACTCCAGCGTGTGCCTCCTCAGACGCGGCGCGCGCCGGCTCCACGCACGGGCGGCGCCCTGCGCTCGGCGCCGGAGGAGCGCTCACCCTCCTCCTGCACAGGCCGCCGGACTCCTCGGCTTCCAGTCACGCGCAATGCGCTCTGACGAGAGGGGGGCCGCAGAGCAACGGCTCCCGGCCGAAGCCGGAAGTGCCTCCGGCCCTCAGACCCCGCCGGGCGATTCAAACCCGACCCTGTTTGCGCGTTGCTAGGAGACCGGCTCCCGCGCGCCCCCGAACGGCGACGCCCGGCGACGTGCGGAGAGGGGCGGGGCCGCGCGGCGGGCGGCGAACGGTCAGACGAGCGCCGTTGGGGCGGCCTGGCGCGCGGCGCCCAGCAGGCGCCCCAGGAAGCGGGGTCGGTGCCTCTGCCCGCGCCGCCGCCCCGGCTTCACTAGTGCCGCCGACCGCCATCGGCGGGCCTTTGGAGCGACCGGGCGGACGGTGAGTCACGGGAGCCGCGCCCTGCCTGGGGAGACCAGCCGGGCCGAGGCCCGGGGGGCCGCCAGCGGGGAGGTGGCCGCTGCAGCGGGGTCGGGCCCGAGCCGTCCGCCCCTGAGGGGATGTCGCGGTCCCGGGGAAGCCCCCTGAGGTCAGCGGACCAAGGGTGAAGCCGCGGGCGCAGATGGCGGGCCCTGGGTGTAAGGGCCACCTCGCGGCGTCCGTCGGCTGCGCGGCAGGTGCGCTCGGGGGGCGGCGACCGGCGACCGGAGCGTCCGGGGCTCCCCTCGCCTGCAGGGGCCGCTAGCTGCCGGAGCGCGCGGCGTTTCCCGACCTCAGGGCAACAGGTGGTGCCGCCGTTGCGCCGAGCGCGAGCCGTGCTCCGCCACGCTGGGAGCGGCGGTTCCTTCGCCCAATGAGGACGCAGGGGGCGGGCCTTGCAGGGCTGCCCCCGCTGAGGGCTGCCCGCCAATGGGGTTGGAGGTAGTGGGTGGTCCGTGAGGCGTGGGCGTGGCCGGCCCCTGTGTCCGAGGTTTCCAGCGCAGCCAGCGCCAGAGCTGCGGGCAGAGCGGAGGCGAGCGGCTGGGTTGCGTTCCCCCCACCCCGAGCAGGAACGCCTGCCCATGCACTCTCATTGGTTCCCAGACTGCAGTCCCCGAGGTGAGAGCACGGTCGGGCGGGGGGCGGGGGAGGGGCAGGGGGTGCTGCTGCGGTGCTGAAGAGGTGTGTGGCGTTAGACCACCGAAGATAAGATTACCTGCCAGTTCTCTGCCAGAGCAAGAGGCACTTGTGTGGCTAGGGGACTTGGACCAGATAGGTGGCCGGATTGTCGCCCGCCCCGGACTAGGTATTGGAAGTGTGGGGATCGAGAAGAATGTCATTACCGCAGTTTTAAGTGGCTCAAAGCATTTCAGTCACGGTTATCCCACCGTTCATCTCGAGTTCACTATGTTTCCTATCTCCTCTGGTTTGTTTACTTACTAAAGGAAGCTCTCTTAAGTTTCGCGTGTTGAAATTAGAGGAGGTTGTTTTTACTGTAATATTTCACAAGGATAACTTAACCCATTTTCCCTTCCAGAAGTCTTGCGGTTGAGTCACCCAGGAGGAGAAATTTTAAAGTCCTAGGAAGAGAGCATTTCCATTTGGGACAATTACCTGCGCTGGAAATGGGGAATGGACTATCAGACCAAACTTCCATCCTGTCCAGCCTGCCTTCGTTTCAGTCCTTTCACATCGTTATTCTGGGTTTGGACTGTGCTGGAAAGACGACTGTCTTATACAGACTACAATTCAATGAGTTTGTAAATACTGTACCTACCAAGGGATTTAACACTGAGAAAATTAAGGTAACCTTGGGAAATTCTAAAACAGTCACTTTTCACTTCTGGGATGTAGGTGGCCAGGAGAAACTAAGGCCATTGTGGAAGTCTTATACCAGATGCACAGATGGCATCGTGTTTGTTGTGGACTCGGTTGATGTTGAAAGGATGGAAGAAGCAAAAACTGAACTTCATAAAATCACAAGGATATCAGAAAACCAAGGAGTCCCTGTACTTATAGTTGCTAACAAACAAGACCTGAGGAACTCACTGTCTCTCTCAGAAATTGAGAAATTGTTAGCAATGGGTGAACTGAGTTCATCAACTCCATGGCATTTGCAGCCTACCTGTGCAATCATAGGAGATGGACTAAAGGAAGGACTTGAGAAACTGCATGATATGATAATTAAAAGAAGAAAAATGTTGCGACAGCAGAAAAAGAAAAGATGAATACGAGTACCTTTTATATCTATATGGAGTAGGTTTTCTCCGGTCTGATTTTGACAAATGGAAGTATTCCACACTGGTTTGCCCTCCTGGATGCTATTTAAAGCTTTGTTTTGTTGAACAATCAGATGTCCAACTCTGTTGCCTTGTGGAAGATGAATAAATGCAGTGCTTCTTAAAGTGGTCTCTTTCTCCCTTCCCCACAAATCTTTTGGTACTACCATTTTGGGAAGCCAAGTAAGGATGGTAAACTGACTAGAAAATAGTTGTGGAAATTGACCCAAAGGTAGTGAAATAAAACTTTGAGGAGTGTCTGCTAAGTATTTGTGCTAGTATCCTTTTGGGAGAAGCCTTTGCAAGGAAATTGCATTCAAGGCTGTGTATGTTAAGATGAAAAGCAAATGAATGGAAATGTGAAAGTGGATGAATAAATCCATGGTTGTATTGGTCACATTGGCACAGCCCGTCTTTTTTTATGTAAGGAATGAGAAGGAAGTATTTGCTTTTTTAAAGTTTTGGCCAAATGATTTTTTGATATTTTCTGAAATCTCATATCTTAGCTCTGGACAATATTAAGTTGGTCTAAATTTAATAAAAAAAAAAAAAGTAGATATTCCAGTGCATGAATTAATTTTCCTGAATGAGCATGTTTTGGTGTGTAGTCTCTTTAGAAATAGCTATGCATCTTTTTATACAGGTTTAAAACAACATTTTGGGGATTTAGGGCTATCATAAAAAATAGTTTGTTGTCAGAAGCACTTTTACTTGAAGAACCTAAAATTTTTGACTCTCATGTAGTAAATAAGGGTATGTAGACTATTGACAAATGCACATGGTTGGGTACATGTAGGGATTTCTGAAGAAATCAATTGATGAATTCAGCCAAAAGATTGTAATTACAATGTATGGTCTCTAAACAATTCCAGTTAGAAGATACTTGTGCTATTAATTGCTGGCTGAAAACAGATATGGTTTTTCATATATTTTTGTATCTGGGGGAGCAAAAGCTTTATAAACAACACCTGATGCATTGTGGAATGAAAATGTAAAAGATACCGTATATGTATTATGAGCTTTAATGTTTTGTTTACAAACTGAATGGTATTATATGGGCTTTCCAGTCTTGATTATAGGAAGGAAGGATGGTATTACTGCAGATAAGAATTATGATGATAGAAAATGAGGGGGAAGTAACAAAGCTGTTCTATGAAAATTCACTGGTGCTGTTTACTTTGGAATGAAAAACAAACAACTAAATCACCAGGAGGAAAGGCCTTTAATTCTTACCTACAGAGACTTCCTGTGATATATATTAGCAGATTGGCATATTTTCTATTTGTAAAGCCAACAGCTGTTTGGAAATATCACCAAAAGAAATGCACTTTGTTAGCTAAGTTGGTTGGATTGTTGTGCTTTTGTTTTGTTTTTTTTTTTCCTGAGTGTTTGTTTTTTATATTTTTTTAGTAGCATAACTGAGTTTTGGTACCTTGATTCTTGTCACACACAAAATGAAGTAGCTTCCTGTGAGACTTTCATATGTTAAATGTACCTGCACTAGTCTTGGTCACTTAGAATGTTTATATGTATAGGAACACAGACACTAATTACCAATAAACTACTTGAGGCGTTAGAAGAACACAATTGGTGGGTTTTAATATATTTCCTCTTCTTCTGAATTTTTTAATTAGGTGTCTAAAAACAAATTCAATTCACTTGACTATTTCGTCATATGGTAGTTCAGGTCACAAATGTGAGAGAAGCATTGAAGTTAATTTTCTGGGAGTTTTTTTGCCCTTTACTGGTACTGAAATCATGGTATCTGCTGCATACGTAACCAGTCTCATGATGGGTTAATAAAGCTTACTAGAAATAAAAAAAATAAGAATCAATTTAGATTTCCAGTCTGCTTGTATTGTCTGTCTGCTTTGCTGTATAAAGTAGTGCTGTTTTGATATCTCTTGAAAGTCTGTCTTGACCCTTACTTTGTAACCTAAGAAAATAAGCAAATCCATGTTATCTAAGGTTTTCATAATTAGTGAACAACAACAGAAATTGTGATTAATACTGTACAGTATTTTATTTGGAAGTTTTAACTACAAAATTCATCTTAAAATTTTTCAGTTTGCTGAGTTCAAATCCCCTACCACCTATTTGAGCTATTAATTATATAGGATAATAAGGAGCCTCCACACCAGGCCTACAGTGTTTCGACAATGCTTTTATACAATAAAATACATATATTTTATTGAGGTGGCTCTTTTCTTAAGCATATTTCTAAAAAGTTTTCTAACATTTGAAACTACTTGGTTTAGTACTTAATATCAAGAACTAGACAACTCAAAGTTACTATAAAAAACAAAGTTAAAAAATGGGTGTGATACAAAGATAATAAAAATGTCCACAGTTAATTCTAAAGTGGATTTATATCATTTATAAAATGAATTATACTTTAGCTAGCATAGGCTCTAGGTTCACTAAAATTAATCATGGAAAAATGAACTAAATACTTATTGGAAACCAAAAGTTATTTATGTATATATAGCCAAAATTTCAAGTCTGTAGATGAATGATGGTTTATGAACAGAGGGAAAGGCACAGATTTGGAATGCTTTGTTTAGGCAGGGCATTTGACACTGGAAGAGTGTTATTGTTGGAGATGACCTTAAGGAAATCTTTGGTAGGGTGTTTCAAGGTTCTATTTGTTGCAACACTTTTTTTTTTAAGTAATAAAGGGCTTCATTGGTAATAGCAAAGACACAGGGGAAAGGTTTCTTCAAACTTTTGTTGATGTAAAATTCAGTATTTAATATAATGGGAACCTTGTATATAACATCATTTGGAGTTGGAATTTCGTCATTAAAGTTTAGCAGAACATTTTGGAAATGGATACTGATGATATAGACTACTGGGGTGTTAAACCTTAATGTAAACTAAACCAATGTGTATCCAATTATGGGTGTAAGTTAAAAATACAGGAATATAGAAACCTCTGCATATGAGGCATCTTCAAAAAGTTAATTGGAAATGCATACTATGAAAAAGCTGAATGAATTTTTAATTTTTTTGGACTGAAATAACATTATTTCATTTTCCATAAATTAAAGTACTCCTGTGTAGGAGGCTTTAGGAGAATGTTAAATTACTGGCTAAAAACAGCATGAGCTAGGGTTCAAATCCTAGCACTCTCTGTAATTACACATGTGACCTTTGGCAAGATCCTTGAAACTTCTGATGTGAATGCCATGGTAAAATTAAGACTGTCACATAGAATTTTGAGGAATGAAATAATGTTATTAAGTACATTGCCAACCAATTGATAAAATCTGAGTCAACGGTACCTTTTGTTAACCAGTAGAAATCAAGTGGTGTGACTCAGTGTGGGGATAGTGGGTGATGGCCATACATGTCCAGGTTTGAATAGTGGATTTATCACTAGTTTCCTCTTGGGCAGTTTACTTTAAACCTTAGTTTCTTCATGTATAAACATAATTATACCTACCACAGGATTCAACTAATTTAAAAAAGATTAAATGAAACTGATAATTATCAGAGTACCTTACATAGTAAATATTCAGTGGATAGTTTTTAATAGCAGAATATTTAAAGAAAATTATTTTTGGAAGTGGAATATGACAGAAAATGTTCATGATTTGTTTTTTTTTTTTTTTAATGAGAATTTATTTATTTATTTATTTATTTATTTATTTTTGACAGGCAGAGTGGACAGTGAGAGAGAGAGACAGAGAGAGAAAGGTCTTCCTTTGCCGTTGGTTCACCCTCCAATGGCCGCCGCTGCAGCCGGCGCACCGCGCTGATCCTGGCAGGAGCCAGGAGCCAGGTGCTTTTCCTGGTCTCCCATGGGGTGCAGGGCCCAAGCACCTGGGCCATCCTCCACTGCACTCCCTGGCCATAGCAGAGAGCTGGCCTGGAAGAGGGGCAACCGGGACAGAATCCGGCGCCCCAACCGGGACTAGAACCCGGTGTGCCGGCGCCGCAAGGTGGAGGATTAGCCTATTGAGCCACGGCGCCGGCTCCATGATTTGTTTTTCTTAGCCCTGATGGACTGTGACACAAAATGGCAATTTGGTGGAACTTGAGAAAGTATAAGCATATGGAATTCCCTCAAAATCTGGGTAATTTTCCTTAAATTTCTAAAACAGCCATCTAATTTAGCACAGTGTCATCTTTATATCCCCAATGAGAAACACAATTAAAAGTCATGGTTATTTTCCCTTAAAAGACATGAATTAAAATATAAGTACTCACTTTGCAAAAATTAAAAATCTGGAGCTTTGTAATTTGTGGTTCTTTATAATGCCTCAAAGATTGTAAGCAGTAATTCACAGATTTTATTTAATGTTAAGTAGGAATCTATATGCTGACCCTAGGGATGCCTGCCAGTATTTGCAGGCACATCTGGCAGAGACTAGACAAGATGTGCTTGTGGTTTTTTTGTGGGTAGAAATGTGTGTTATGTTATTTTCCAGTTACTTTCAGGTTTTGGTCTGGTTTTCATGTCTTCTGTTTTGCAGTTGAGATTACACATATTGAATAAGACTGGTTTATAAAGTTGAATAGAAAATCCTGTGTTGTCAGCCCAAATGTACCCTGCTTTCTTGGGCCCTCTCTTCTATCGCTCTGTAATAAGAAATTAAAACAGTGCCCAAACAGAAATATTACCTGAAGTATTGTCCCTCCTCCTCCCCCAGTGCAAATTAGACACCTACACTGAGTAGCCATCAGATGGCTGGAACTGGCAAGGGGTCTCCAGTGTCTTCCTGGATCAGAAGCATCACATTACCTAGGAACCCACTGGAACTGCAGAATTTCAGGCTCCACTCCGGACCTGGGAATATGAAACTAAAGTCAGGCAGGACCAGCAGCCTGTGTTCTCACAAGCTCACCAACTGATTCAGATATCACTAAAGTTAAACCCTGGATTAACAAAGTCCAGTCATTTATCATAAAAATTTAAGATAAACTTTTAATTTCAAAACTACAATTCAGACCTTTTTGAAAAGCACTTTTATAAATGCACAAGGTTTGTTTTATAACATGTATCCAATAAAACTTTGTTGAATGAACTTAAATAAATGCTAGTAAAGACATATCACCTTAAATGTCATATTTCATAAATTAGCTTTTCGCACACACATACAGAAAAAGAGGCAGCTTTGCTC